ATAGCTACCTATGGTTGCGAAAGTTGGACCATGAAAAAAACTAGACAAGAAGAAAATCGACTTGTTCAAGCTGTGGTGTTGGAGAAGGTTCCTGTGCATTCCTTGGTCAGCAAAGGTGACAAACAAACAAGTACTGAAGCATATAAACCAGATACATCACTGGAAGGCAAAATCACAAAATTCCACCTTACTTTTGTCATGCGATCAAACTCACTGGAAAAGATCATACTCGGAATGGTCAGTGGTAAAAGGAAATGAGGCTGCCAAAAAACACAGTGGCTTGACACAATCAAAGCTGACACCAGCCAGAGCATAAAACAGCTAAAAGAAGCTGCACAAGATCAGAAAATGTGGAAAGAGATGGTCCATAAAATCATTGAGAATCAGACACAATTGAATGGATAGCATCATCAGTATTATCACAGAAATGTTGAAACCTGTAATTATTTACTTCGCGTTGATAAATATTCCCTAGTAAACATAATGACATGTCAAAGTATCAACAATCTTGAGTACTGCAAAGATAAATTTGCATATAAATTTATCAGTATTGTGTCCAGTTCTAGATGCCACACTAGAAGAAGGATTTAGAGAAATTGGGAGTGTTTCCAGGAAGAACAATTAGGATAATGAGGGGACTAGGAACTGAATTCTATGAATGAGTTTGAAGGACCTAGCTATGTTGAGCCAGGGGATAGGGGGATATGATAGCACTGTTCAGATATTCGAATAAGTTGCATGTAGAAAGTAAAAATTGGTTTTCTTTCATTTCAGAGTGCAGGACAGAGAATAATGGATTTAAGTTAATAGAAGGCAGGTTCCCTTTGAATGATTGGTGGGGGAGAACCTTCCCCAAAGTAAGGGCAATGATCCTGAGGATCAGATCAGCTGAAAGAGCAATTAATGGATCAAAAAGCATTGAAAATAATTGTGATAGAAATTCCAGTTTGCTTGACTGGTTTTGTTTGACTGAGTTCCATCTAGGTTTCCATCTAGATAGAAACCAGTTTGCTTGACTGGTTTCCATCTAGACAGAAAAGGGCCATATACACCATAAACCTACTCTAGTTTTACTAATTGAGTCCTATACCTCAGGATTGGAATAT